CTGTGGGGTACTTAATTGTCAGCTGAGGTTAAACCACAACAAGGCCCTACAGGAGATCTTGGCTTTTCAGTCTCTTCTGATTAAGTTAATAAATACATGAAATAAGACTGAGTTGAAAGCTAATGTTTACTCAGTAAAGGCGTGATTGTCTAAAATGTTAAACTAGGACTTAATGTAATTTTCAGATTTAGTAGTTTAAAAAGCCTTTACCAGGATATGCACAATGCTTCTCTTACTAGCTCAAACTTATTTGGGAAGAGGTTGCACAGTACTTTTTTGACCTGTGACAAATGAGGCAAATTTTTTTTAAGGTTCGTTCTTTCTTTCTCGAGGCTATTTGTTTAGGTTCTGGCAGTTCCCTTCTTTAGCATGACCTGCCAGCAACCCACACCCCCTCCAGCCTTCCTGTCTCCTCAGCACCTTTCATTCTTTGCATAGGATTGGGCAATTTGCTCAGTTTCACCTAAGGCAACTTCTCTACAATCAGACTGGGCAGCTTGCTCACTTTCAAGTTAAGCAACACACACACAGAAAACAAGTACCAGTACTTCAAACTTCTGGCATTTCTGATTTAATGTTTTAGAGACCAAAACAACAACTGATGATGGAAAAAAAGAAGGCTGAAGTTAGATCTCCTATTAGAAGACCCATACTCCCACTCCTCCCTGTAAACAAAGAAGGTGATGAGAATTCTACTCAGCTACCATTCCCAAACTGATGTCAGCATCTCCATTTTTGGAACATCTCTGTAACAGCTAGTGTGTGAGAAATAGTGCGTAGCTGTTGATAGGAGAAGTGATATTTTCATTAACGTCATACTAGACAAAAAGGATATCATAGCTCCGTGAAAAAGGAGGATGATTCAGGTTCAGCACTGCGTAATTTCCTTTTGGCTCTCATCCCTCACAAAAGCTGTGTCACTGGACATTTTTCAGTGCATTTGCTAGCAAACAAAGATTCCTCCGAATACCACAGGAGAATTAAGATCTACAATTTATGACTGCTTCTTGAAAATCCAAGGTTAAGGCTTAAAACTTGCTGAAACACAATTTTATCTATACTGCAACCCCACTAATGTTCTTCTAAAAATTTAGGGTCAAGAACTCTAAATTAGGAGTTGCTCCCTCTATTTTACTTATGTTAAATCATTGTGAACTTTTTAGCCATTAGACATTCTTGTCTACAACAGTAGCATAGACTCATATAAATATATTTATATACTTAGAAAAATATATAAATATCCATCAGAAAAATCTATTATCTAGATTGCATGCTACCATGCAAACATTTCTTTCTCCTAAATTTAGGTATGAGCATTAGTTTATTATTAATCCTTAGGTAGAGTGCTTCAAAGCATGGAAACAAAGGGTGTGAACCAAATACTTTGAATACTGTTGCATTCCAACGGCTTTCCAAAAGCTTGCAACAGAATGCAGACAAGCAACATCTTGGGCCTCTTTTCTTTTCTTTTTTGGTACTGAAATATCAAAGCAACTAGGATTACTTGAATGTGTTTTCAGGCTCAAATTTCAAAATGTTTCTATGCAAAGCAAACAATTTCCAGACAACATCATGTGAGATTTAGGACTGTCAACTTCAGGCTTCTGCTGCTGAGAACCTGATGCATTACCTATGCAGATGCCTCTGAACTTATGCTAAAAAGAAGCAAAGACCCAGAATTTTTATCCAAGCAAATTTCATTCAAGAGATTGTGTCATTGCATGGCTTTTGAAGGACTATGCTTTAAGTGCCCTAAAAGACATGTTCTTCATCTGTTCTGCTAAAGAACATTAACATACAGTTTCTCACTCATGTCAGTATCATTAGCTATTCAGTTTTGTGCTACATGAAATTGAGCAGGTTATATAATTCCACATTTGAACTAAATCAAATTGCTTAAGTATTCTACTCAGTGCTGCACACCCACCCCAGATGAAGTGTAGAAAACACATTTCACAGTAAAGAGGCCAGAAAAGAATCCTTGGGAGCATTTATCAGACCACCAGTTCAAGATGGACTTGTAATGCTGCCAGATTTTTTCATGTCTACAAAGTCCCTTTCTCAAACTTCTTCAGTAGCTGAAGTACAATCAGCATCAAGTTTCCAACAGACTACAGCAGTCTATTCAGTAACCCTACCTTAGCATTCTGCCTGTGAACTTTGATCCAGATAACCAGTGTTTGGGTTTTTTTCCCCACCTTGTATAAATATTTTCATCTATATGAAGTGTACAACAGTGCTAACAGCTTGGTGGAATCTTCCATCTATCTAGAGAATTATAAAAAGCAGAGAAAAATCACATCCTGAACTGCAGTTACAGACTGGGGAGAAGAAGAAAATGATTGATAAAGACAATGAGACACACTGTGACGACTTACAAGCAAGCATGAGTCAGAGATGAGCAATGGTTGATTAACAAAGTGGTATTACTTATAAAATTGACTAGATAAAAACACGGGAAAATGAAAGGACCCAGGGTCACAAAACTGAAGCGCACCAGTCACAGCTTTGATCACCCTCAGATGATACAAGGAAAGCATTTAGAGGCTAACTAGAGTCAAGTGGATTTCTTGCTTAGGATGCCCATACAGCCATCTTAATGGTATTTATTTAACTATCACGGAAGTAAACTTTTAGGAATAAAACACCACCGACAATAAATCAAACAGCAGCATGAGGAAAAACGTAATACCTTCACGAAAAACATTCCAGATTTGGGGTTTGGGTTTTGAAGCATCTTTATGAATGAGAAGAGGCTACTTTTACTCCATGATCTTTGTGATTAAAAAGAAAAAAGCCACAGAAAGTTATTGCTAGATAAGCAGACTTTGACATTCCTACTTGTTTATCACAGCCTTCCTGTAGGTTTTCATGACAGATGGAAAAATGATAATGGAAACTATGTTCACTGACTCAGCCTGCCACTACACGAGCACCAGTGCCCTCTTAATCTTCTTCTACTCCTTTTCTGTAGCCACTAATTTTCCTGACACAAATAAACTAACACTTAAGAAGAATATATGATACGATTTGTATTGGAAAGAAAACTGAAGAAAGCATTTTCACATTGCAGGAACAGATCAGAAAGCAAATGCAGAAGAAAAATTGTCAGCTGGGCACATTATGTTGACCTGAGAAGTTTCCTAGGGAAACAAACAGCAAAGTGATATCTATGATGTTATGACCTCTGCTCCCCAGATAGTTAGAAGGGCATCCTGCATTTATTATCATTTAGTAATTGCTAGAACTCTCAGGTAAATTAACAACACTGGAGTTTCTGCTTCTCTAAGGTATTTTATGTTTATGGAGAACAACTCGATCAAATACTGTAGGGTAAAGTATCTAAATATTAGAGTCCAGCTTAAATAATGCTCTCCCAATTGATGACTAGTAGAGCAATTTTCACTTCTTTTTAGTTAACAACACTTATCTCTCACAAGTTACATTACTTCCTTTATGGTTTAAATACCACTCAGCATTCATTGTGAATACCCTTATAGCAACTTTAGCACTAGCCCATGAAACAAATAACACTTGGAACAAAAAAAATTACTATCAAACGACAGTTTCTTTGGGTTAAAAACTGAGAAACTCCAGCACCAGACATCGAGACAGACAACTCTTCAAAACCTAAGGAGTTACCTCTGACCGAATACAATACTGCCCACACCAAGAGCACTGCTTCCCTTCTATCCCACTGGGACCTCGCTGCTGCTACCGGCAGCCGTGGGGGGGAACCGAGAGGCGCTTCCCAGGTTTCCGCGGGCCTGCCACACACATCCGGCCCTGGGGGCTGCGGGGGGCTGGCACCGGGCTCTGCCCCGACCCGAACGCCGCGGCCGCTCCGGGCAGGCCCCCCCGGCCCGAGGGACTGCGAGCGACCCCGCTCCGACCCCGATCCCGCGGCACTTCCCGCTCCGCCCCGCCGCACTCAGGCCCCCGCACTCACAGCCCGTCTCCTTCTTGATCTCCTCGATCTCCTCGTCCCGCAGCAGAGTGGACGCCCGGGAACCCATCGCCGCCGCTGGGCCCGAGGGGAAGGGAAGGGAGGGGCCGGGGGAAGAGTTACGCAGCCGAACAGCAGCGACGGCGGTGCCACAGCCACCCCCGGCACAGGCCCGAGCGCGGCCGCCCCGCTGCTCCGAGGCGGAAGGCGAGCGCGCACCGACTGCCGCTGCCCCGCCCGCCGCCTCCGCCCGGCCCGGCCCGGCCTGGCCCGCCCCCGTCTGCCCCTGCCCGGCCTGGTCCGCCCCCGTCCGCCCCTGCCCGGCCTGGTCCGCCCCCGTCCGGCCCTGCCCGCCTCCGTCCGCCCCTCACACGCCCCGCGGCCGCCCACGGCCCCGCGCACGCGTGTGGGGCGCCCCTGTGCGCAGCGAGAGAGCGGCCGCGTGGAGAAAGTGCGCTGTTGTTTCTTTCCCGAGGTAGTAGTGGCGCCCGGTCCTGCGGTCTTGCTTTGTTTTGCAAATCGCAGGATCACAGAACGGGTGAGATTGGAAGGGACCGCAGTGGGTCGAGTGGTCCAACCAGGATCCCATCCAGACGATTCTTGAATGTCTCCAGTGAGGGAGACTCCACAACCTCTCTGGGCAGCCTCTTCCAGTGCATGGTCACCCACACAGTAAAGTTTTTCCTCATGTTCCGTTGGAACTTCCCGTGCATCCATTTCTGCCCATTGCCTCTCGTCCTGTTGCTTGGCACCACAGAGCAGAGCCTGGCTCCATCCTCTGACACCCTCCCTTCAGATACTGATAGACATTGAAGAAGTCCACACTCAATCATCTCTTCTTGAACAGGCCCAGCTCCCTCAGCCTTTCCTCATAAGAGAGATGCTCCGGTTGACCAGTCATCCTCGATACACTCCACTGGCTGCTCCAGGAGCTCCATCTCTCTTGTACAGAGGAACCAAGAACCGAACACACCACTTCTGATGCAGTCTCACCAGGGTGAGGGGCAGGATCACCTCCCTGGACCTGCTGGCACTGCTCTTCCTGATGCACCCCAGGACACCATTGGCCTTCTTGGCCACAAGGGCACTGCTGGCTCAGGGACACCTTGGTGTCACCAGAACCCCCAGGTCCCTCCTGGCAGAGCTGCTCTCCAGCAGGTCAGTGGTAATGTTAAGCTTTTACCCCAAAGAGTGGAACCTGATGTATGTCTGTATTTTTTTTACCTTCCTTCATGTTAGTGAAGAACTTGGAATTTGGCAGAAGCACTCCAGAATTAAGGATAATTTTTGGTCATGGAATAGTCAATGGTGAAGCTTTGCTTACTGCATTTTGGGGCAAGGAGTCATGCCCACCTGTAGTTCGGCATTTTAAATCAATTTCTGGGTCACATCTGAATTATCCAGTTTCATTTTTTTCCTCCTAAAATCAGTAGACATTAGAATGGTGTATAAATTGCACAGCTTTTGTTCCCCAATTATTTATAAGTGAAACAATCATAATTACAACTTACTTTGGAAAGGTCTTGGGACTGTATTGCATTAAAGCTTACTAGTTAAATAACAATGGTTAATGTCCAATGAGACTGCTAATGAAAGTAACTACTTCAAAGGTAATCAGTTGAGATAAGAGTGCCCCCTGTTTACATCCTGAAGGCAAGTTCATTGTATATATTGTTGTACATGTGCAAGACTTTCCTTTATGGACTGTGCTGGGAAGTTAAAATGCTTAAAGTTCATGTTAACTTGGTCTTACTTTTATTCACAAAAGCAAAACCATCTCTGTTAAATGATCTGTTTATCTGAGCCTCCTGCACTAATGGCATAAATATGGAATTATTTAAGAAAAACATTTCTAATGTATAAAGGTCTGTGCATTTCTATTGGCATCTGCTTTCCTTCAGGTATAGGACCAAAGTGCAGAGGGGCAACTAGATAGAAGTCATCTACTGGACTTACCAAGTGATTAACTTACTCCATTCTGCCTTTTTTTTAATGTACTTGCTTTATTCTATAGGTAATAGTCTGCAAATTAATTAGTTGTAGTTCAATACTGACTTTGTTTCTGATATATACTGATGAGATGCTTAAGTCATTAGACTTAACTGGTCTTTAAAAAGTGTCCAAACGTTGCTTTTCAGCACTAGAATATACATTGTTTCTGTCATTGAATTAACCTGATTCAGGGAAGGGAACAGCAATGCTTTTTGAGTGTATTGAAATGCTTCCTTCCTTTCACAGGAGGAGAAGGGATGGGATGTACTTGCATCAATGAGTATAATTCTGATTTTCAAACTCAGTTGTGCCAAGTTTGGTTTCCTCATCTCTGAAGAGGTGAACAAGGTGCTGGGTATAAGGCTTCTTCCAAGGTAAAAGGCTCCTCCAAGGTATTGTTTACAATTCTCTCACCCATTTTTTTCTCTCTTGTTTGTTTATTTTGGTTTTGGTTGGTTGGTTGGTTAGTTAGTTGGTTTTGGTTTTGGTTTTTGCTTCCCATTAGTGTTCCTTGGTTCGTTTCCTTGTCAGCTTGTGGTTTCAGGGCGAATTTCCTATGAGCATTTCACCTGTGGTGGAACAGTTCCAGAACAATTGCACAGGGAAATTAGAGTTATATAGATGCTCTCAAAACATTTCTAAGTGTGCCTTCGGAAAGCTAGTAAAAATATATTTCAAACTCCTGCTCCTAGATTGGCTTTACTTTGAGTCTTCTCACAAGACACTATTTGAATAGTTTATTCTTCCTTATGGTCCTGTGAAGTTACCATTTTTTATGATTTTAATTACTGCTGTTTGTCTACAGTAAAGTTTCAGTGATGCAACTGATTTTTTCATATTGGTGAGCTTGTATAATTGCTCTCCAATTACCATACCTAACTAATGGATCAGATATTATTGATTCAGGGTGAAGACAGATATTTAATTTGCACGGTTCTTGGGCTCTGGTTAGATACTTCATTCTTTGTACCTTGGACTTCAATTTACCTTAAGACTTTTGCTGATCTATGCAGTGAACATCTGTTCAGGTTCTGTTTTTACCTTATATTTTCAGAATAAATGTGAAATTTTATCTGAGATAAGGGCTTTTTTTGGAAAATAAGCTTATTGTTGGGCAGCTTCAGGATCTTCTGTAAGAACCATGCACACTAAATTGAGTTGCTTCATATGCAGCACTTCATTTTCTGAACAGAGGCAGAGGGTATCACATGAAATATTTTTCTTTCACATTTCACCAGCGTGGACATTTTAATAATGTTTAATAACTTCTGTATAAGGTTTAGTTGTCTTGTTTGCTCAGGTGCACTTTAAGCTGTTGATGTGAACAAACAAGCAGACACAGAACCAAGCAGATTGTGGCCCATGGAGTTCTCCTTGTGTTTCCTTAGAGAGCCATCTCAGGGCCTCAGATAGCTCAAAATATTCCCTCTGAGGTAATGTGGATATTAGCCAAGCAATGTACTTAGTCTTTGTCAGACAGCATTTTTCCCAGAGATTGTTATCTCTTGGTTTGTCTGTATCAGAACAGGATGTATTCTGAAAGAACAATGGTAACAGAAAGGTAGGTACAGAGCTTGTTATCTGCAGACATTGGAAGGAAACAGGCCTGCTTTCCAAAATGTATATCCTTTGGCTCTTACCAACTATAAAAGTGGCTGAGCAGCACAACTGATCTTTTGGAGAAATCAAAGTGCTTCAGCCAGTGAGCATTTCTCTTGGTAACTATTTTTATCTTATACTTGTACCTGAAATGCCCATACGTGATAGATAACTCCAAGCTCAGTAAGACTGTTGCCCTTTGGATTTGTGCTGGCTATCAGGCACGGATCTGGTTGTGTGTTCCTGCTGTGGCACGTATACAGGTGTGTACCTACACAGGCACAGATCCCAGACCAGCTCGTTCTGTTCTCACAGAATGGTGACAGGAGTGCAAGGCCTCTCTAGGCTTAAGAAAAGTTAGTTGCATTTACCTGGGTAGTGAGAGAGAAAATAGAATTATAGAATGGTTTGGGTAGGAAGGGACCTTAAAGATCATCTAATTCTAAAGACACCTTGCATTAGACCAGGTTGCTCAGAGCCCCACCCAGCTCGGCTTTGAACAATTCCAGGGAACAATTCTATCTACATCTCCTTTTACATAAAATATATACTTTGGTCATTTTATAATAGTCTGCTGTTGTATATTCTCCACAGCTGAGATGCTAAGTGTCTCAGCTATTTCACTATCCATTCACTTTTATATTTAACAATTCAAATACCAAAGTACAGGAGTAAAAAAAAAAAAATTAGCAAGGGTTGATGTGGTCTGTTAGTTTTGTCTTTGCAACAATCTTTTCCCTTCCCTAGCCAAACCTGGAAAATAGGGTGCACTCTGTTTTTTAGTTCATGTAATATTTTAAGCTGAAACCTTTTTGTTTCACTGTGCATTATAACAACAAAAGGTAGTGCTGCAGTTCACTTTTAAACAGTCAGGTTTTTTGTCAAATAACAGAGTTGGGGTCATGCTCTAGACTGTAGGCATTTAAACCAGACAGTTCATGCTTCAAGTCATGCATGGCTGCTACTGTGTCTCAGACTGTCTCTTTCATCAGAACAGTGTCCTTCAGTATCTTGGATACGCAGGTATCCTTCAAAGGTATTCTGGCTGGGAACAAAAATTTAACCAAGAGAAACTTCAGGGCATTCTCAGAGAAGGTAAACATTACTAGAATGTGACAGTTGTTGAACCGTGTAAATGTTGTGGCTTTGTTCTAGCTAGAAAGAAACTGCAGGCAAGGCTGATAGAATCTTGCGTAGACCCATTTTAAAAGGTAGTTACTACCCAATTACAGCAGCAGGTTTAATGTGCTTTTTTTTTTTAAAGATGTATTAGCTGTTCTTGATCAAACTTGGAACAACCTGAGGCAACTGTGATTTAAGCAGGAGCCAGGTCAACTTGTGCATTATGTTCTTTGTTCTTTCTGCCCCTTGCACAATTGTAGAAACAGCTTCAAATACAGGCACCCAGCACTGCTGGGAAGCATCTGCTGGTAAAAGCAGAGGTGAAAATGAGGGAACAGGCCAAGTTATGACAAAAATCTGATTTTGCTGGTGCTGGCCCTGGTGGTGTGGTGATTAATATGTGACTAACAGGAGAATTAGGAGCCTTTTGAAGAGAAGAAAGTAACACAATGGCTATGATCCTTCATAATGAGCATGGATATGTTATACATAGTTATGTATGACTTGTGCTTGCATACTCTTGTCATAGATATGACTGCCTGTAGTAACTCCTCAAAGCCCTAAACTGGGCTAATTTGTAAATTTTATGGCACAGGTTTCTCTGTTGGTTTCTAATCCTAGTTTGGCCTTTTGCCCTTAAAAATTATGTTATTTCATTACAGCTCAAATATCAGTCGGTGTTAAGTCTTGACTGTAAGAAAAAGATAGAGCTGAAAATTCCCACCGGCACTCCCAAAGGTACTGACTAGAACATGTAACAGAAACAGTGGAAATAATTAACTAGAACTACCCACACTAGGATCCAAAGTACACAGAATTGCACTCATTGTTCTGTTGTCTTGGTATGAGCTGCCATGCCTGCTTTCCTTGCACTGACAGTTCTCTAGGCTTGGAGATTGAATTACTCTGATTCCTTGGCCTGAATCCTACTTCTAATGGAAGTAAGCGACTGACATAGTCTGATTTCAGGTATCCTGTGATGTACCTGGTATTGTGGGATTAAGCTGTCTTGTCTTCTACTCTGTACTGCTGGGAAAATAACTGGGAAGTGCTTCTGGGCAAATTTTCACAGATGCTTTTTGTGAAGCACTTCCCAGAGACAGCTTCTCAGTGTTGTTAAAATGGGAACAGGCTGGGTGCACAAATGAGACTCTGCATAAAAAAAGCAGCAATAGAATTAAGAACTCTGGTTTACATGGAATCCTGCCTGCATAATTTGAAAAATTATCTCTGCTTTTTGCCAGTGGCTGCAACACTTTATTCCTTACAATAAACAAACTAATAAAATTAACACACCATTTAGAGTGTAGTGGTGTTCTGATGTTCACCGTCTTCTCCACTGGTGTTCTTAAAATAGTTTAAAAATAACCTCTTGAAGTAACTTTTAATAAAGTTTGTGGAAGTTTGATACTGCTATTTTACATTTGACTTCCTTGTGGGCAGGGGTTGTGTACCTGTTGGGCTCTAGCAGCCTAAAGAGCTGCATAGTGAGCAGGCAACTGGCTGTTGTCAGTGCTTACATCCCTATCCTTGCTTTCTGGGCATCTTCACACTCTGAAACTCCTGCCTACTGTAAAACGTGGGTTGCATATCTGTGTACTACCAAAGTAAATACCACAATTCTTCCTAAAGGTGTGTGCTGAAAAAAACACGGAAAATTTGAGAGCTTGAGAGAGACTTTCCATGAGACAGAAGTCCGTGAGTCTATGAGTTAAGGTTTAATCATAAAATGTACAAGTAAAGAACTCACTGCTGCTATTTATTCCACAGATCAATGCAAACAGGTAAGAAGGATGAAACCAGGAATAGAAAAAAGCAAACACCATGCCATGCAGTTGCTGCTGGAGGCTGTTGCCTGCTTTACTTCTGGCTCTATGCATTGTCAAAGATGAGTCATACTGGCAAAATCAGTTTATAGGCAAAAGGTTTATGACAACTTACCTATTATTTCATCATGTTTTCCTTATCTTGCATCATTATTTTAGGCTTTGGATAAAAGTTAAAACTGTAAGTATTCTGGGAAAATATCACTGTATGTTTACTCTATTCTGATACTAATAGTACTGGGCTAGATGGAGTCATAGACAAATACAACATAAAACTTACATAAGTCATTCTTAAAACCTAATCTACCCTTTTACATTACAGCTTTAAGGAGTCAGATTGCTAGCTCTGCAACTGCATGCAGTCAGAATGGTGATGAATTTGCTTGTAGCATACTTTGCTTCTAATATGCAACCCCACTGTCAAACCTCCACATTCTTTGCCTTGGATTAATGGACATTGGTCATGGCATATTGATCCCTTCCATCACAGGTTGCTGATGCTCTGCAACTGTTCTGCAGTTTTCAATGACAACTCGTGGCTTCATTCTGCACCATGTCTGCACATTACTGGTGAAGATACCTTCCAGTGGGGTGCCATCATGAAGTGCAGACAACAAGTGACTTCACGGAGTGATTAAATGAGGCACCTTCTGAACACTCAGTTGTTAGCTGTCCTTAGCCCATTTTGAGATGTTTCTGTGAGGTTCTTTTTTAAGAGCAAGGCAGTAAGCAGTGATTAAATTGCTGCAGTTAAGGACATTTTGTAACACTGCCTTGAGAGACAGGTGCAAGCAGTAGTTGGCATCAGTGCTTATGCTGGTATTTCCTAATAGCTCATTTGAAATTCAGGTTTTGAAGAACCACAAAGATTGTACAACACAGGCTAAATATAACTTGAGTGGTAAAATGTTCTGGATATCTTAATATTTTTTTACTAATTCTGAAACCTAGTTTCAACAGAGCAAATTGCTTAAAATGAATCCTGAGTCAAGCGGGGAAAAGGGGAACTTTTATTGACAGCACTATTAGAATGAAATAATTCTTGTGCAGTTCAGCAGCCAAATTGTCATTTTCAATTTTCCTTGGTTTTGTTAATCTTTCAGATGGGAACAACTGACATAAGGGAAAACTTGATCGGTTGAGAATTTCTAAGATTTGGGGAACATAAACTTGATACAATAGACTATTTCATCTGGAAGGGACCTGCAATGAGCATGTAATCCAATTGCCTGACCAGTTCATAGCTGGCCAAGTTAAAGCCTGGTATTTAGGACATTGTCCAAATGCCTCTTGAATAATGTCAGGCTTGGGGCATCAACCACCTCTCTAGGAAGTTTGTTCCAGTGTTTGACCACCCTCCAGCCAATAAATGCTTTCTAATATCCAGACTAAACCTCCCCTGGTGCAGCTTTGAACCATTCCCACATGTTCTGTCACTAGATACCAGGGAGAGGAGCTCAGCACCTTCTTCTTCACTGACCAGCTGGTGATGCTGTGTTTGATGCCTCCCAGGATGCCCGGGCACACTGCTGACTCCCACTGAGCCTGCTGGCAATCAGATCCCTGTCTGCAAGGCTGCTTTCCAGCTACTCTCCCAAAATATATTTGTGTTGGATGTTATTCCATCCTAGACGCAGAATCTGGCATTTCAACTTGGAAAATTTAATCCCATTAATTGTAGCCCAGTGCTCCAATCTATGTAGAAACCTCTCCAAGGCCTCTTGTCCCTCAAGGGTGAGCTGCACCTCCCAGTTTGGTACCATCAGCAAACTTGCTAATGGTGCATTCAACTCCTGCATCCACATGGTTGATAAATATACTGAACAGATCACACTCTGGAATTGAACCACAAGGAATACCAATGGTATCTCTCAACTGGTGCCAGTTGCCAGCAGGATAGAGGTAGCTCCATTTGCTAGAATCCTTTGAGCTCTGTCCTTCAGTCAGTTTTTCACCTAGAGCACCATGAACCTGCTTATCCCACAGTTGGGCAACTTTTCCAGAAGGATGCTCTGAGGGACAGTACCAAAAGCCTTACTAAAATCCAGAAAGAATGTGACCAGCAGAACCAGGGCATTGATTGTCCCCTCAGCACTGGTGATGTCATGCCTCAAATCCTGCATTCAGTTTTAGGCCTCTCACTACAAGAAGAACATTGAGATGCTGCAGCATGTCCAGAGAAAGGCAATGGAGCTAGTGGAAAGCCTGGAGCACAAGTCCTATGAGGAGCAGTTGAGGGAGCTGTAGTTGTTTAGTGTGAAGAAAAGGAAGCTCAGAGGGTACTTTATTGCTCTCTACAAGTACCTGAAAGGAGGTTGTAGTGAGGTGGGGATTGGTCTCTTTCCTCTGGTAACAAGCAGCAGGACAAGAAGAAATGGCCTCAGGTTGTGCCAGGGGAGGTTTAGATTGGATATGAGGAAAAGCTGCTTCACTGAAAGGGTGGTCAGGCATTGGAACAGACTGTCCAGGACAGTGGTGTAGTCACCATCCCTAAAGGTAAAGATGTGTAGATGTGGCACTTAGGGACGTGGTTTAGTGGTGGGCTTGTCAGTGATGGCTTAACAGTTGGATTTGATGATCTTTGAGATTTTTTCCAAGCTAAATGATTATATGATTCTATCATTTTGCTGGGATTGACCATGCCTTTTTGTGCTGGGGAGGGATTGAGGTGGGGTGAGAAAACTTCTAAAGAAGCCATTAAATAAGGATATTAGATACTTAGTAAGACCTCACTATATAGGCAAGATTTTTTACCGAATAGGAACAATCTCTTTCCTACAAGAGCATTTTTTCTCTCTTCATTCTGGTCTTTAAACTTCCTCAGTAAATACAAGTGGGCTTGTGTTGCCTGTTCATAGACTTAAAATATTTCTCAGAAGCCTGGATTAAATGTTGATATTGCTATAAAAACTACTCAGTGAAACCTCTAATTTGAACACAGCTTTATTTTTATGTAAGTTTTAGAATTCCAACAGTGTCTCTCAAAATTTGTTTTGAGAATTCTCTACAGCAAACCTAAGCCAAATGACAACATGCCTTCCTTAGTACCAGACCAAATCATCCTACTCCTCTGAAGACTAAAAGTGGGAAATGACCATGTAATGTGCATGCAATAAGTATACCAGTGTAAACCACTCTGTAGTGCAGTTTTGCTGAGGGTGTCATGGTCATGCTGTTTAACTGGGGCTTATTTTCATGTTCTTCTGGTTTTAGTTGTGATTGCTGATGATATTACTATTCCTTAGCTGCTTCCCCAGCTCCTTTCATGTGAGGTGGTTTTCTTGCCTTTAGGTCTTTTATCTCAGCTCTTAGGAATCCAGCCTAGTTTCAGAGATAGATGAGAGAGAATCTAGCATTAAATGCTGGAATAGGTATGTGTTGGGTTTTGGTTCGTGTTTTTGATGGTTGTTTTTTTTTCTGTTTGGTTTTTGGCTTTTTTTTTAGGAAGCAATCCCTCCTTCCAAACTTCTGCTTCTCTAACCAACACAGATGGCCTTAGATACTGAAAGCATTCAGTTGCACTGAAAATAAAGATCAACATCAGGAAATACGTTGTAAACTGGGGAAGTCTATGATGAAAAGCTTTCTTAAATTTTTTTCACTTCAGTAACTGTCTTGGGACAGAGTACATTTTCTTCTTAGTAACTGGTACAGTGCTGTGGGATTTGGATTCATTATGAAAATAGTGTTGACAACACAGGGATGATATAGTTGTTATTCAGTAGTGCTTACTCTAAGCTGAGGGCTTTTCAATTTTCCATGCTCTGTCATGAGGAGCTGCACAAAAAGGTGGGAGCATGGCCAGGACAAGTGATCCAAACTGGCCAAAGGGATATTCCATACCATCATAGAACACCATGACAAGTATTTAAACCAAAGGAGTTACCTGGAAGGGAGCTGATTGCTGCTCAATGATGGCACACTGCACATCTCTTTTTTCAACCCACAAGGTTTACGTTTTATTTCCAGTTCTCCTCCCTGCCATGATGGGGGTTGAGGGGAGTGACCATACAGGTGCATGGTATTTAATTTGTGGCTGGGATTAAACCATAAAAACAACTGGTTTCATCTGCATTGGGATACACAGGAGAATCCTGATATATGGTTCTTGAGACCCTTCCTAGCTCCTCTGCTTAAAGCATTTGTTCTGAAAGCTATGTACCTGCCACTGCTCCACTCATCTCTAATGGATAACTTGATGTCTGACCTAACAGCTTATTTAAATGTTTATTGTGCTGGGTCTGGAGAGCACCTTGTGAGCACAAAGGTAGGTATGTCTTGGATTATTTCTCTGATTAGTGATTGGATCTAAGGCTCTGATGGATAAACTCTGGAGGACCCAGTTACAGAAGCTTCCTTTTGTGCAGCTGTACACCCTGCTTTATGCTTCATACCTTGTTTCCTGTGTGCAGCAGCAGAAGTGCTGGTGTCTGTATCTACCTAGCTCCATTTCCTGTTAGTGCAGTGCAGAACCCACCCCACGTTTGCCTAGTGGATGGTGAGTTTTGCAGCTCTTAAGGCATGAGCACAGTCATTTGCACCTTCTGTTCTCTCTCCTCAGAGACTGAGAACCACTGGGCTCAACAGGGACTGTGTAGATGTGTGAGGATATGAAGAGTGACAGGCAGGTGTAAAGTGCTGGTACCTGGAGCTGACAGAGTTGCTTTGTTTTGGTAAGAGTGTTTGGTCCCCACATCTTGTTCTATTTTTCTCCTATCTATCAACTTCACTGCTGAGCTGGTTTGCATACACTGTCTGTTTCTGAGTAATGTTTGTTGACCAAAGATTTTTATTTCTATAAAAGCATGACTGAGTTATCTGGTTGTCCTTATTTATTCTTAGAATTGTTATCTTAAAAAAAAGTGAAAAATCAAATAAAGTAACATTTTTCATCTTTGGTTACATAGAAACAGAAGTAGTGTATGCTCAGGTACCTTGGAGTGGCCAGATAGTAGACACTTCTGTAATTGCTTGTTAATTTTTAAAGCAGAAAGTAGAGGAAATGAGATTTTTGGTGAAAGAGCTTGACTTACTGCACTACTGGAAAGAACAGATCAGTGCAAACCAAACAAGCAGTGGGATTGGCGTGGTCTTTTTCTGTCTGCTCAATGAAATAACCTTGTGAGAGCTTGCACTAACTGTGTAAGATATTGTTGGTATTAAATTTGGGTGAAAAGTGCATGGTCAAACATCCCCATTCATCAGAAAGAGACTGAACTAACATGATTAAATCCTTTTAGTGCCTCATTTTTGCAGTTGTAAATGTCTTAAAGTATTTATTAGGAAAAGAGAATGCAGCTCTATCTTAATGAAAAAAATAGTATTTTTCTTTGCCCTGATTTAACAAAGCACTGAAGCACAGATTTGAATCCTTTGGGAATTACTTAAGGGCTCAGAGCAGTAAATCCCATTATTGAGGATTTAGGAGTAGATTAGATAACCACAAGAGGTCATAGTTGCTTCACAGATATAAGACAGGAGGTCATATTTGAAAATCTTTTCTCTTTAGAGGCAAGCTGCCAAAAAAAGAAGGTTGTTCCTAGTTCATGGGAAAAAAAAAGTTTGACATGTGAATTTCCAATGTGAAATGCATGCGAAAGTAGGCATGACACAAGAGAAAAGAACAGCTTGTTAAAGGGAAGAGAGTACAAATTCTGCTTTGTATTGGGCTATTTGTAATATTTTTAAAGTGGTTCTCAGCTTGCTGAAGACAATCCTTTTATGAATCCATCTATTCCATAAGATTAGCCAAGGAATTAATTTGATCCTGGGTATTCTAAATGGTATTTTGAAGATCGATTTGATATCTTATCTGGTTATCATACTTCCTGCATTCTAAAGCAGTTGCCTTCTGAAGCAACTGCCTTAGCAATCTAGTATGGGTAGTAAAAGTAGCCATTTTCATTGTCATTTCACTGTTAATAATTTTCTGTTGTTTCTATCTCTTGTGAGTACATCACACAAATAAAAGTTTCTTCTACTTTATTTGAAATCTGTTTGCAATACATGTGGAGTGGCAAAATACCAGAAACACTTGCTGGCTAAATGTACATCTCCTACTAGGGTCACATCATCCTTGTGGTTTTCAACATATTCAGGAGTGCTTGATTTGAGACTTATGCATGATTGCATGTACCTGTCTGATTTACAAGCAACAGTAAAGTATTGCCAGTGGTTCACAGCAGCCAAAAGAGATAATGCAACATTCTTGTTGATGTAGTACTGGCAGAAGAGGATGAAGAAGAAAATAGAGAAAAAACTAATAAAAAGGAAGGAAATGAAAAGAAAGGCATCTCATTGATCCTGATGTTTTTGGAAAGGTAAGTGGACAGTTTCTGTGGTTTCCTGTGTCATCACCTGCAAGCGGTAGTTGAGTTTTCTGAACAGTGGGTGCTCCCTCCTGAGCTCCCTCCTCAGCTCCCTGACCTTTTACCCACAAACCAGATGCAAAGCAGTGACCTCTGATCCTCAGTGCTTCATTATCAAAACCCTCAGCTTCCCTCTTCCGTGTCTTTCAGAAACTGATAATCTTCCTTCCTGCTGAGGGAGAGGAGTGAACACAAACTTCCCACCCTGAAAGTCTTGGCAGTTACTGCATTTTCAGTGTAAGTGTCTGCCAGCAGTAATTGTTCTTGTGGATGCAGACACCTAGGAAAATGTATTTCTGTTTCTCTACAGCTCTGTCACTAGAAAAGAGCCAGTAAAGGAGCTACATGTACTACCTTTTTAACCCTCCTCGTGGATTCATATTGATGGTTGTTAGGTACTTGGAAATGCAGATTTGTTCTCATGTTTAGGACTTAAATTCAAAGAAGCAGATGCCTGGGAATCCGTTGGTGCACAGAAGCAAGTATTTTCCTAGAAGTGCAGAGTCCTCTTGTTTAAGAGGTGCCAGTTCACACGCAGAGCTCTGGTACCTCAGAGCCATGCACCACACCCATGTGCACCACAGCTGATATCCCCAGTGCACTCATGGTAAAGCTGCAGAAGATAAGTTGCTGTGGTGTATGTGATAGCAGGATTGTTGTGTTCCATTGGCTAATTACAGAGGGAGCTCGTCCTTGGATCTAACATATGTATTGATTTGATTTATTTTCTGTTTCTTTTTCCTTATTAGCCCATTTACATGGAGCTGCCAGAGGAGCTGTGTCAGCTGGCAGACATGGAGAAACTAAGAAGGGAGAAAGCAATAGAAGACTACAGAATGAATGAGGATGGTCTTTTGATCAAACCAGCCATGGAATTTAATAGAGAGAAACAATTCACAGAAGAATAGAAACTACAGAGGTGATGGGGATTGCTTTCCCACAAAGAAAAAAAAGCAGGGTCTCAAATCACATCCTGCAACAATCAAGGATGTACTTTGTCAAAGCAGAGCTTGAAAATCAAATTCGTGTGGTAAAATCTGCGAGAGGACCTTAAACTGACCTCAAACAGACTGTATGAATTTAATTTCTGACACGGGTGATTTGATGAGCTTAGATTGGGTGTTTGGAATCATCCAAGGGAAAAAAGGGGCTATTCTCCTTTTTTGGTCAAACAAAAGCTCCTGACTTTAGAGTGACAGGTAATTCAACATTCCATTGTTGAATGGAAATGATGGTCTGTCTTTTGGAGGAAATTCCTGCTGTGTCTGACTGTTCTTCTCTAGGTCTGTTTTTGAGATCCATTTTTCCAAGAGCTATTTTTGATTTTAAAAGAGTGGCTTTTATTTTTCTAACGTTGTTAACAGACCACTTTCTTAAACTGTATTGATTCTTTTGTTACTTGTTGCAAGTATGTAAAATTCTCATTAGAGCAGCTTCCTGCTGGAAGTTGCAGACCACCCTTGTTTGCCAGCACTGCTGCATCCAACTCATGAGGATAAGGCTATAACACCACTGTGCTGTCTGGTGTGTGTAAAAAGCTGTTTAGGAGGTGTAGAGCAGCCCCTCCCAAAGCAAAATAAGGTACTAAGACAAAACTGCTGCTCTACCACAGGACAAAAGTAATGTAGGTCAGGCCTCAGTCTCAGAACAAATTTTCTGATATATCAGTGAACACCGATGAATGTAGAATAGGGAAGTATGGAAAAAGTCAAAGGTTACTGTGCCAACGAGGTTGCAGTCCAAGAACAATCTGGGCATCAGGCTGCAAAGGTGGGAATAATGACACCAGCTTGGAAGGGATGTGACATCTGCATGTGAATACATGCCACTACCTGTTTGAGTTGTTTTGCTTTTGATGTAAATTGGTGTGACTATGTTTATGATGTATCTGCACATTTAAAAAATATATTTTTAGGTGAAACATGTTGGTTTTCTGGTGTGTTGGGTTTTTTTACCTCTCCCCACAAAGTACTAGATTGGAAGTATTCAAATAAGTCTTTATTTGAAACTGTAAGTCAGACTTGCTCACTTCTCAGAGTGACAGAAAAACTGCGAAGATTTGCTCTTTGTCATTTAACTGAAGGAAGATTTTTTCCAAGTAGTGATAGGTTACAACAGATCAGTGGGGTACAATGTGGAACATGCAGGCTCTTCTGTCAGAGAGATCAAGAGCACTGAGGTTATATTTCCACAACCAAACACAGTCCAGCCAGTCCTATTACCAGACAGAAAATGGTGATACATCAGGTAGGGGAAGGAGGAAGGGAAGAGGAGCTGAGAGATGAAGGCATCAAGTCTGGGATATAGAAGAGTAGTATGAAATGTCTCTAAAGGCCACCCTTCTTGGTAAGAGACTGAGCTGCTTTCTCAGCCTATTCCAAGGACTAAATCTCTGACTGGAACAATATTATCATGGAATAAGGATTTCCAGAGAGGGACTTCACAGTCTAATTGCATCTGTGCCACTATAATGATTCAAGTAGTAAAACTTTCTTGGGTAATATAAGTACCGCATTCCCTTTGGTTCTCTTTTGGAAACGGCATAAAGAAAAGAAATATACTGGAATGCAGTCATCACTCACTGATGCACAAGACTGAAAATTACCATTTTCTTACAGAAGCAAAAAGGGCTTATTTTTTAATGGTCCATCAGCCATAGTGATGCTGCTCAGTGCCAGCTCTGTTTGTCTGAGCGTAGCACTAACATGTAACCAAATCAAGCTCACGTCCCAAACAATGCAATTTTCAGCTGTACTTAGAGATACAATTAGCATCACTAGTTAAGGACAACTCTTGTGAAGTTTTACTGGAGCAGTAGCAATGGTCTTATTTTTATATCCTAGCAACTGTGGTGGTTTAAGCCCAGCTGGCAACTAAGCACCATGAAGCTGCTCACTCCCGCCCTGCCCCAGTGGAATGAGGCACAGAATCAAAAGTAAAACTCATAGTTTAAGAACAGTTTAATAATTGAAAACAAAGTAAAATATAGTAATAGAGTGAATAATAAGAATGATAGAAAGGGAAAGAAAAGCAAGTGATGCACACTACAATTGCTCACCCCATGCTGACCAATGTCAGATTCCTTTCCTGAATCCAGATCGGCCTCACTTCCAGGTAGCTCCCTACAGTTATACTGGGCATGATGTCCTATGGCATGGAATATTCCTCAGTCCGTTCAGGTCAGCTGTCCTGGCTGTGCACTCTCCCAGGATTTTTTTCCTTCTCAGTGGCAATAATAAAAGTCCTTGACTCAGGATAAACACGATTTAGCAAAACTCAGAATATCAGTTTTTTTTTCTGAATGCAAAACTCAGCACTGTCCCACCTACTGAGGAATTAAGTCCATCCCAGCCAAAACCAGGACACTGGTACCTACTGAGCGCTAAAGTGACACATCTTAGTAATGAAATACAGATTTTTATCGCTATGCAGCAGGTGATCTGGATTAATCATCCACTTAAGGATTTGCTCTAAGTGTACTAGTTAATGGGTTTTGGAAGGCAGCGGCGCTGAACAGCTGACGGCCACACCGTGTTTACAGTGCAAGGCATCTTCGCAATTAACCTTCAGGCCTATTTCGTCCAGAGCTCCTCTCGTGCAATTCTTAGTGCATGACAAAGCGAAAGCAGTAGAACGCACGTAGCCTCACCAAATGCCCCCACGTGTTAACCCTGATGGCGCCCCGGTTCCAGCGCCGCCAGCCCCTCACCGCTCGCGTCAGCTGCGGGGGCTGCCAGGCCGGCACAAGCTCTCGGACACGCACGGCACCGGCTCCCCACCTGCCAGGGACCCGGGAATGTCACCGAGCGGAGCCGGGCCCACCCTGCGCTCCTCGCAGCGCCTCAAGGGCAAGCGCGCGTCACTTCCGGGACGCACCCGCCTCCCCGAGCCAGCATCGCGAGACCCCGCCCCGCCTCGCGCGAGACTCGCTGGCTCACCCGGCCGCCTGGCCGAGTCCCTTCGGCAATTTCCGTCACCGCCAGACCCTACCAATCGGCCGAAGGAGCGCATCGATGAGCAAGGGCCCCCCGCGGGGTCCCTGCGGGGCCGAGCCCCGCGGTGCGGGCTTGGGGTCCGTGCGGCAGCCACGGCGGCGCGGGCGGGGCGGCAGAGCCTAGGCGCGGGGCCGGGGCGGCGGGGCGGCATGCGGAGTTCGATTGATCAGGCCTGGGCATGGCGCCTCTCCTCCCCCCCGCCATGGCTCCCCGTGTCCCTGCTCCTCTCCTCTCAGTGAGCGAAAGTGGCCGCCGCCGCCGTCCCAGCGCCCGCAGCCGCCGCCTCCTCCTCAGCACCAGCGCGGGCGCCATCTTGGCGAGGCAGGAGCCGGGAGCGCCCCGCGGCAAGAGACAGGCAACGCCAGCCCCGGCAACCCGGGGCGAGAGGCCGGGTGGAGCAAGCGGGGGAGCGAGCCCGGGAGACACCCCCAGCCCCCCGCCGCCGCTGCCGCGTCGCCGCCGGGCCCGCTACCCAGGTGAGCCACCGCGGCCACTGCGCAAGGGCACGCCGGGCCGGGGCTACTGGAGGCGGCAGTGGGGGCGCCGGCTGGGCAGGCCGTGGCTTCACCCCCCGCGCAGACCGGCGGCCGCTGCAGCCGGGCCTCTTCTTAAAGAGACAGGCCCCTTCCCCGCCCTGCCCGCCGGATGCGCCTCGCGGTACCGGCGGCCGTGAAGCCGCCGTTCGTTCCCCCCCAGCCCCCGTCCAGAGCGGCGGCCGGGCCCCGTCGGGCGCGG